GAGCGCCTGTAGTCCCAGCTACTCGGGAGGCTGAGCCAGGAGAATGGCGTAAACCCGGGAGGCGGAGCTTGCAGTGAGCTGAGATCCGGCCACCGCACTCCAGCCTGGGTGACAGAGCGAGACTCCGTCTCAAAAAAAAAAAAAAAAAAAGAAAGAACTGGGACTTAGCATTGAGGAACTCTGGCATTTTGTGGCCAGGGAAAGGGAAATGAACCTGCAGGAAGACAACTGTAGCTGTTAAGACAGGAGGGAAGTTGGTGTCAGCAAAGTCAGACTTATGATGGGATGGCAGCAGCACCAGTGCAGAGTAGGTGCTAAGACTATTCACTCCTGAGTTGATTCTTTTTGAATGTTTTGTGTGTGTGTGTGGGGGGCCTTTCTATATGCAAACACATACATATATGCATACACACATATAACATATGATAAAATATGTTACCAGTTCATACTGCTTCCAATCGAAATTCAGAACTACAAGATAGCTACATGGTATCCACATCTCTTTTTCCCCTGGTGGCTCAGTTTCTAAAATTCGCTGGGTCTAGACTGCTGTGGTCTCTTGATGCCCCCCAGTATTGGAGTGACCAAAACTACTCCCAATTCCAGCTCTTCCCGAACTGTCCTGTGGCATGTTTCAGTGACCACCACATCTTAAAATCAGCAAAATGTATTGAGATGTTGCAGGTGGAGACTCCAACAGGGGTGGCAGTCCATGGTGTCTGAATGTGGCCTATAGATATGTTTTATTGAGGCTGAGTTTTTAATTTTTTTTTTTGTTTGTTTGAGACGGAGTCTTGCTCTGTTGCCGAGGCTGGAGTGCAGTGGCCTGATCTCAGCTTACTGCAAGCTCCGCCTCCTGGGTTCACGCCATTCTCCTGCCTCAGCCTCCCTAGTAGCTGGGACTACAGGTGCCCACCACCACATCCAGCTAATTTTTTGTATTTTTAGTAGAGACGGGGTTTCGCCATGTTAGCCAGGATGGTATAAATCTCCTGACCCTCGTGATCTGCCCGCCTCGGCCTCCCAAAGTGCTGGGATTACAGGCGTGAGCCACCGCACCCAGTCAAGTTTTTAATTTTTTTACATCATTGTTGGCTGTTGGGTTTTGAGGGTTGGGGTGTGTGTGTGTGTGTATATATATGTGTGTGTGTAGTGTGTATGTATATGTATATATGTATATGTACGTATTTGTGTGTGTGTATATATATGTATATATATGAGACAGAGTCTTGCTCTATTGCCAAGGCGGCTGGAGTGCAGTGGCACAATCTCAGCTCACTGCAACCTCCTCCTCCTAGGCTCAAGCACCCCTCCTGTCTCAGCCTCCCGAGTAGCTGGGACTACAGGAGCGTGTCATCATGCCCAGCTAATTTTCATAATTTGTTTTTGTGAGTTTTGTTTTGTTTTGTTTGTAGAGACAGGATCTCACTATGTTGTCCAAGCTGATCTCAAACTCCTGGGCTCAAGCAGTCATCCCACCTCAGCCTCCCAAAGTGCTGGGATTATAGGCATGTGCCCCCACGCCTGGCTAATTTTGTATTTTTAGTAGAGATGGGGTTTCACCATGTTGGTCAGTCTGGTCTCGAACTCCTGACCTCAGGTGATCCACCCACCTCGGCCTCCCAAAGTGCTGGGGTTACAGGCGTGAGCCACTGTGCCTGGCTGAGAAAGGATTTATTTATTTATTTATTTGAGACTGCAGTGGCACAATCTCAGCTCACTGAAACCTCCACCCCCTGGGTTCGAGAGATTCTCCTGCCTCAGCCTCCTGAGTAGCTGGGATTACAAGCATGCACCACCACGCCTGCCTAGCTTTTGTATTTTTAGTAGAGATGGGGTTTCGCCATGTTGGCCAGGCTGGTCTCAAACTCCTGGCCTCAAGTGATCCACCTGCCTCAACTTCTCAAAGTGCTGGGATCACAGGTGTGAACCACCACACCCGACCGGAGGAAGGATTTTTATGGAAGACAGCAACACGTTTGGCTGTTTTTGTGCTGAGAAGCAGAGTGTAGTAGAAAAACAGTAGATACTGGAAAAGGAGTCAAAAGCCATATGATTTAGGGCCCACAACAAGGATTCTGGCTTTCACTCTAATTGCAAAGAGAAGACAATAAAACATCTCATTTTTGTTAAAAAATCTTTTTTTGCGCCAGGCGTGGTGGCTCACACCTGTAATCCCAGCACTTTGGGAGGCCCAGGTGAGAGGATCACTTGAGCCCAGGAGTTTGAGACCAGCCTGGGCAACATAATGAGACCCCGTCTCTCATTAAATAAATAAAATAAATAAATAAAATAAATAAAATAAATAAATAAATAAGAAACAGAAGCAGCAGCTTGTGGAAGCGTAGAGTAGTGTAGAGAGAGATAATAGGGCCTTGCACTGGGCGAGCAACCATGGAAAGAAACCTGCAGTTCCTGGCAACAGGGTGGGCGTGGCTCTACAAGTAAGGGAATGACTCCTTGTGCATCCAGGTGGGCAGTTGTGCCACATGGAATTACCTATATGGGAAGATTGGTATTTAACACACATGGAAATCACCATGCTACTTTCTTCCTCTATGATTTTGACTATTTTAGATTCTACACGTAAATGAAATCATGCAGTATTTGTATTTCTGTGCCTTTTTTATTTCACTTAACAGAATGTCCTCCACGTTCGTTCATATTGTCATATGTCAGGATTTCTTTATTTTTTTAAGGCAGAATAATATTCCATTGTGTATATAAACACATTTGCGGCTGGGCTCGGTGTCTCACGCCTGTAATCACAGCAGTTTGGGAGGCCTAGGAGGGTGAATCACGAGGTCAGGAGTTCAAGACCAACCTGGCCAAGATAGTGAAATCCTCTCTCTATTAAAAATACAAAAATTAGCCGGGCGTGGTGGTGTGTGTGCCTGTAATCCCAGCTACTTGGGAGGCTGAGGCGGAGAATTGCTTGAACCTGGAAGTCGGAGGTTGTGCCATTGCCCTCCAGCCTGGGTGACAGAGTGAGACTCCTTCTCAAACAAACAAACAAACAAAACAATGTCCTTTATTCATCCATCAACAGATAGTTGTTTCCTTATCTTGGCCATGGTGAATAATGTTGCTGCTACGGGAGTGCAGGCATCCTGTGGAGTTTCATTTCCTCCGGATCTATAGCCAGAAGTGGGATTTGGCCGGGCGCCGTGGCTCAAGCCTGTAATCCCAGCACTTTGGGAGGCCGAGATGGGCGGATCACGAGGTCAGGAGATCGAGACCATCCTGGCTAACACAATGAAACCCCGTCTCCACTAAAAATACAAAAAAATTAGCCGGGCGTGGTGGCGGCGCCTGTAGTCCCAGCTACTCCGGAGGCTGAGGCAGGAGAATGGCGGGAACCCGGGAGGCGGAGCTTGCAGTGAGCCGAGATCGGGCCACTGCACTCCAGCCTGGGCGACAGAGCGAGACTCCGCCTCAAAAAAAAAAAAAAAAAAAAAAAAAAAAGAAGTGGGATTGGTGTATCCTAATATAGCTCTAGTTATAATTTTTTGAGGAACCTCTATACCATTTTCTGTAATGATTGTACCAATTTACATTCTTTCGATAGTGGCCATCCTCATGGGGGTGCAGTGATTTCTTGAGTTTGGGTTCATATTTCTCTTATACCTAGAGATGCTTACCATCTTTTTATATGCTTGTTGCTCATTTGCATATCTTCATTGGAGAATTGCCTATTCAAGTCGTTTGTCCATTTTAAAATCAGGTTTTGGTTTTGTCGTTGTTGAGTTGTAAAAGTTCCATATAAATCCAGTATATATTTCAAATCAGATATATGTTATGTAAGTATTTTCGTCTATTCTGTAGATTGCCTGTTTCCTTTGATTAGCTAAAGTTTTTAAGTTTGATGTAGTCCCATTTGCCTATTTTTGCTGTTATCTGTGCTTCTGATGACATATTCAAGAAATCATTGCCATCTCCAACATCCTTACGTTTTCCCTTTTACTTTAGTAGTTTATAAAAATTTTTGGCCCCACATTTAGGTTTTTAATCAATCTTGAGTTAATTTTTACGTATGGTATAAGGTTAGGTACAGGTTCATCTTTTGCATGTGGAAATCCAGCTTTGTCAACATCTTTTGCGGGAGACGATCCTTTCCCAACTGTGTAGCAGTTGTGTTCGTGCGGCCCGCGCCATCCTGAAATTCACACGGACACAGAGTTGCAAGTTACTGCCCTCCGGGAACCTCCCCTTCTCTTCCGAAGAACCAGGAACCTGGGACCCTACAGCTCACCCGGGCCCTCCGGTAGCGTCTGGGCGCCTAACAGTTCAGCGCGACCCCGCCCCAAAGGCGTGGAACTACACTTCCCGGGATGCCAGCGTCCTCCGTTGGACTCCATTTCCCAGAGGCCTTCGCGGCCGCCCTGCTCCTCTAGGTCCCAGGCGCGCCCGGAGCTCTCGCCGCCGGGTGAGCGGCGCGGGGCCTGAGGTCGCCCAGGCGTCGGAGGAGCCGGGTCACGAGGCTGGAGTCCGGCCGGGCGGTTCTGGAGCCTCCCGCCTGCGGAGTGCGGCCGGGGAGGCGCGGCCCGGCCACGCCAGATTCTGGGGAGGTGAGCGGCGTGGCTGGCTGAGGGCCTGCGGCCGCCGGGGCTCCGAGGGCCTTTGTGGGCGCGGGTGGGCACCCCCGCGTCTGTCACCGGCCCCCGCGCGGGGACCTGGACTGTCGCCCCTGGCGGGCGGCTCTGGCACCGCTGCCGATGCTCCTGTCTCTGGCTCGCCGCCGCCGGCCGTGAACGAGGGGCCGGCGTCTCCTCCCGGGCCCACCCTGCCCCGCCGTGGGGGCCTCGCGGACTCGGGGCTCGGGGCGCCGGGACCCCGAGCGCAGGGCGGAGGCAGCCGGCCCCGGTTTCTGAGTCCGTCCCCGGGACGGCCGCCCTTCCCGCCCCCGGACACGCAGCGCTTTCCTCTTCAAAGCCGCTTTCTGTGCGGTCAGGAGAGGATTCCTTGGCGGGAGAGAGAGGAACCGGTGGGAAAGGCGTGAGGCGGAGGGAAGTCGTCCCCGGGGCCGTGGCTGTGGGAGTCCCGGCCGGCCTCGCAGGGCCGTGAACGGAGCAGGTGCCCCGGCGCTGCCTCAGTTTCTCGAGCGGTGCGGCGGGTGCTGGTAGTGCCAGCTGGCGCCGAGGGACTCAGCGGCGCGGGGCAGCCCTGGCCCTGGCGGGCTCGGCGGGTCGTGCTGCCGCTGCGGGTCCGGCGTCCCCTCCGTGAGCCCCAAGCCCGTGAGACCTGGGCCTGGACGGCGGCCGGCGCTGCTCCGGTCCGCGGGCTCCCGGCTCCTCCGACACCCTGTGCGGGCGCCCGGGGTCTTTCTCGGCGGGAGTCGGGGTGTCAGAGCTGCGGGTTCCGGGGCTGGAAAGCATAAGGGGCTTCTTCCCGGCTCCCTTTTCCTTCTCAGATCTGCCTGCTGGAGACTGCACCGTCCTCAGGGGAGAGCCCGGAGAGGACATGGCTGCGGGGCGGCGGGAAGCGAGGCCCCAGGTGAGCTCATTGTCCTTCCAGATCCTCGTGGGTGGATTTTCCCCGCTGACTGAAGTTCTTCAGCGGGACCATCTTCAGCCAGGATGGAGCCCAAGTCCTTTTCCCTTGGAGGCGCTGGTCCGCCCTCATGAGTGGTGGATTCTGTAGGGAGGACCTGCCGCCCTCCCCGTCCATGTCTAGTGGTTCTTTTTTAATTAACACATTTTGTTCACTAAATTTCAATCCATTGCGTGACTAATTTGACAAGTAAGATACTACAAGTCTCTGTATCACTAGGGACAGAACAGACGTGCACACCTGGGAAAAATCCCTGCCTCCTTCACTCAGCCTTGTCTCCTTTCCTAGCCTTTGCAGAAATACTTTTTCTTTTCACCCCTGACAATCCTCATAACACCACCCTTTCCCCAGGCTTCTCCAATGCATAGTTTTTAGTTTTTTCTCTCTCAACTTTGTGAATCATATTCTTTGCTTGTATCACTCTCTTGAAAGCTGATGTAGACCGTTTTCATTTTTGTGTAGTGGGAATGAGGAGGCCACCTTTTCTAGGTGAGACAAGAGTGAACAGAGTTGGAGTGGTCACTTGGCTCCCAGGACAGAGAGGAGACCCCTCAGGTAGCCGCAGGAAGGGTTTCATGGGACATCAGTAGTGCAGAGGTAGTGTATGTGGTAGTTAGGAAGTAGGGCTGTCAAGCCGGGTGGCAGCGTTTTAACCCATCTCCTCTGTTGCTGTTTGTGGGCCTTGGGCTTCACCTCTCTGTGCCTCAGTTTTCTCACCTATAAAATGGGAATAACAACTGTGCCCACCTCCCAGCATAGATGAGGGGATCACATGAGTTGGTGTATGGAAAGTGTTTGGATCAGGGCTGGTCTCTGAGTAGTTACTGCTCAGTATGTGGTGGTCATGGATGCAGAGTGACGTTATCGTATTAATATATTCATATTCATGTTAATGTTGATAGAAACTGCTGTACAATGTGTTTCGGACCCAGAAGATGTTATTCTTTATTCATTTTTTTGTCTAACAATAATAGTGTCCACTGAGTGTCTAGCACACCAGGGAGTGAGCTGAGGTCTTTACATTTGTTCCTTCACTCTCACAGTAACACGACAATTACAATTCTTGTTTTACATGTGAGGAAACTGAGGCTCAGAAAAGTTAAGTAACCTGAGCACAGTCCAAGTGCATCTGGCTCTGCGTTCCCTCGGACCACCCAGTAAATCGTTCCTGTGGTGTGTCTTTCCGAGTATGGGCAGATCCAGCCACGTGATACCAGGGTTCTTCTGCGGTCTGGCATTCTCTTGCTTTTGTTTTTGTTTTTTGAGAGGCAGTCTTGCTCTGTTGCCTGGCTGGAGTGGAGTGCAGTGACATGACCTCGGCTCACTCCAACCTCTGCCTTCCAGGTTCAAGTGATTCCCCTGCCTCAGCCCCCTGAGTAGCTAGGACTACAGGCACATGCTACCATGCCTGGCTAATTTTTTTTTTTGTATTTTAGTAGAGACGGGGTTTCGCCATGTTGACCAGGATGGCCTCAATCTCCTCACCTCGTGATCCACCAGCCTCCGCCTCCCAGAGTGCTGGGATTAAAGGTGTGAGCCACCACGCCTGGCAGCATTATCTTTTAGACTAGCCAGCACAGTGGAGTGTGATCTGAGGGTGTGGCCAGAACAGGCTGTTGTGCATTTGAGATGCTCTTTGTCCTTCAAGGTATTCCTATTCTGTTCCCACAGAGGCAAGCTGTTCTCCTGACCAGAACCTTCTCCATCCCTGTGTTTGAGTGAGTCTCTGTGGCATCCTTCCTGTCTATTCTTGCTGCCCATGTGTCAGTAATGTGTAGACCTGTGTGTAAAAATCAGTGAAGGGAATTTTAAGACCAATGAGAGAGTACAGAGTTCACAATTAGAAAACTGGAGTTATGATCCTGCTACTACCTCTAGCAAAGCACATGACCTGGGATCTTGGCTGCCCTGGACCTTGTGTTCTTGTCTCAGGGCCCTATCCAGCTACACAGTTGTTTTTCATTGTTCACATTATTTCATGCATTTTCTAGTCTGCCAGTCAGATCATACATTCTTTGAGAACACAGATCATTTCTTGTACTCTTCCCCAACATGCAAATAATTTGATGCTCTTTCTCACCATAAAAATATTGCAGGGTCATGGTCTAAACTTTAGAGAGTAATACCTTTATATATATACATTTGTAGATGTGTGTATATATTTATGTTTATGAATACATGTGTATATATATGTGCATACTTATGTGTATGTTTATATAGTCGTGTGTTGGTAATGATGTTTTGGTCAATGAAAGACCATAAATGTGACAGTAGTCCCCTAAGTTTAAAACATAGCTGAAAGATTCCTGTCTCCTATTGACTTAGTAGCCATTGTCACATTATAATGCAAGGCTTTGCTCTGTTTTGTGGTGATGCTGGTATAAACAGACCTACCGTGCAGCCTGCCAGTCCTATGAAAGTATACAACATATGCAACTGTGCAGTTCGTAATACTTGATAATATCTGACTGTGTTGCTGGTTTATGTATCTGTTGTACTGTTCTTGTTATTTTACAGTGTCTTCCTTTTGCTTGTTTTTAAAAAGTTAAGTGTAACAGCCTCAGGCAGGTTCTTCAGGAGGTATCCAGAAGAAAGCTTTGTTCTCCTAGGAGGTGACAGCTGCATGTGTGCCATTGCCCCTGAAGCCCTTCCTGTGGGACAGGATGTAGAGGTGGAAGACAGTGGTGTTGATGATGCTGATCCTCTGTAGGCCTAGACTGATGTGCATATTTATGTCCTAGTTTTTAACAAAAAATTTTTTAAAGTAAAAATAAAAGGTTTTAAAATAGGAGAAAGCTTGTAGAATAAGGATATAAAGAAAGAAAATATTTTTGTACAGCTAGACAATGTGTTTAAGATAAGTGTTACTACCAAAGAGTCAAAGTTTGAAAAAATTAACAAGTTGAGAAAGTAAAAGTTACAGTAAGCTAAGGATAATTTGTTGTTAAAGAAAACTTTTGAAAAATAAATTTAGCGTAGCCTAAGCGTACAGTGTTTAAAATGTCTACAATAAATGTAGTGTAGCCTAAGCGTGCAGTGTTTAAAATGTCTACAGTCTTGCACAGTAGTGTCCTAAGTTGCATATTCACTCACTGCTCACTCAGCCAGGCAACTTCCATTCCTACACGCTCCATTCATGGCAAGTGCCCTATACAGGTGTACCATTTCTTCTCTTTTATACTGTAGTTTACCATGCCTTTTCTATGTTTAAGTATATTTACATACCATGACTTTTCTATGTTTAAGTATATTTACATACACAGACACTTAGCGTTGGCTTACCGTTCCCTACAGTGTTCAGTTTGGTAACCTGTGGCACAGGTTTGCAGCCTAGGAGCAATAGGCTGTACCATATATATAGCCTGGGTGTGTAGGAGGCCGTTCTACCCAGGTTTGTCTCTTATATTCCCACAGTGATGAAGTGGCTTCACAATGCGTTCTCAGAATGTACCTCCATCACGAATGTGACGCATGACTGTATGCTCTACGTATTTCATATATACAGCAGAAAATAAAATCACCCTTAACCCCACCATCTGGAGATAATCACTGTCATTCAGTTTATTGCTTGTCTCAATAATTTTCTATGTATATAGAATTTTTTTTTTTTTTTTGGAGAGGGAGTCTCACTCTGTCACCCAGGCTGGAGTGCAGTGGCGCAATCTAGGCTCACTGCAAGTTCTGTCTTCTGGGTTCAAGCAGTTCTCCTGCCTCAATCTCCCGAGAAGCTGGGATTACAGGCGCCTGCCACCACACCCAGCTAATTTTTGGTATTTTAGTAGAGACAGGGTTTCACCATGTTGCCCAGGCTGGTCTCGAACTCCTGAGCTCAGGTAATCCACCCACTTCGGCCTCCCAAAGTGCTAGGATTACAGGCATGAGCCACCACACCCGGCCAGAAACATTTTTTTGAATGAGGACAAACTCGAAACGGTGATACATAACGTACTTTGTACGTAACATTTTCATGGGTGTCTTTTTATGTCAACAAATAGCAATTTATGCCATCAGCTCTAATGATTGCCTACTATTTGTATTAATGTGATAATAGCTAACATTTGAACCTTTAATGTGAGCCCGATATGATTTTAAGTGCATTGTGCAGATTATCTTGTTAACTATGTGGTAGATTTTGAGAGGCAGTTTTGGAGTACTTTTGAATGGAGCCTAAGACATCTGCCTGGATTGGAATCCCAGCTATACCACTGAACGGCTGTGTGACTTTAAACACATTTTCTTTTTCTTTTCTGAGCTGGAGTCTCTTTCGGTTTCCAGGCTGGGGTGCAGCGGCACGATCTCGGATCGCCGCAACCTCCGCCTCCCGGGTTTACGCCATTCTCCTGCCTCAGCCTCCTGAGTAGCTGGGACTACAGGTGCCCACCACCATGCCTGGCTAATGTTTTTATTTTTAGTAGAGATGGGGTTTCACCATGTTGGCCAGGATGGTCTGAATCTCTTGACCTCGTGATCCGCCCACCTCTGCCTCCCAAAGTGCTGGGATTATAGGCGTGAGCCACCACACCCAGCCAACTTTAAATTTCTTAGCCTCTCAGTGACTTTGCTTTCTTTGATGTAAAATGGAACAATAACTATCTTTTTCATAAGGTAATTGTGAAGGTTAGATAAGGTATATGCTAATGATTAATATAAAGCTCTAAATATAGTGTCTGGCCCATGTAAAGCATTCACTAAAAGAGAGGTATTCTGATTTTCATCATTATCTTCACGCTTGAATCAGCACACAGGTAGTGCCATAAGTTATTTAACCCAGCCTCTATCAGTGAGTATTTAGGTTGTTACCAGTTTTTTTTGCTACTAACACCATGATAAGTATCCCTGTGCTGGTATTTTTGTGCACTGTTTCTTAAAGTAATTGGTGAGTTAAAGATTATACACAGTTCTAAGTTTTTACCTATTATCAAATTGCCAACAAAAGATTATTCTAATTAAGACTCCCACTAATGGCCGTAATCCCTCTACCCATCTCTTACAGTGGCTGCACAAGGCCTGAATCTCGCTGTGTGCCGCTCAGTATATATTTGTTACTGGCAAATTGTTCATTAAAGGAATGATCTGGAACCTTCAGAAGCTTGAATAGTATCAGAACTGTTATCACGGGTAGCCTGTCTTCCCCACTGCCATCCCGTCCACTCTGTGAGGGGGTTCCTGGGTGAGCTGGAACGACTTGTCCTTACAGGTGTCACTGACGTTCGAGGACGTGGCCGTGCTCTTTACCCGGGATGAGTGGAGAAAGCTGGTTCCTTCTCAGAGAAACTTGTACCGGGATGTGATGCTGGAGAACTACAGGAACCTGGTCTCACTGGGTAAGGAAGTTTCCCCTGTAGAAACAGAATTCGAAAATTGGGATAGCTCAGCACCTCCTTCCCTGAATAAAAGTGGTTGGTCACTGAAAAATTTGAGCTGAGTTTAGGTATTATACAAATCAAATCTCTATAAATAAACATTGAAAACTTTCTTTCTCCTAATAAGTATGGAATTGTTCTGTGTATTGGCAGATGGGTATTGATAATTATCCCCTTCCTGCTACACAATTTCACATTAGAAATTCTCTCATAGTTCAGGTAGCATTTTCCTGCTTTGATTGTTCTGTGGTTTGTTTGCTCATCTCTCAGCAGAGGGCTTACCTCATCCTTCTTCATCCACCTACCATTGCCTTTCCCACTTCTCTTTTCCAGTCAGATGAATCTTGTAAAATTCACCTTCAAAAGGGAATCATATGATGTTTTCTCATTATAAAAAAAGTTACTTGATACATCATTCTATAGATGCCAGTTTATAAGTTTTAATTACATCTATACATGCAACATTCCTTCTATAGAAAAGCCACGGTACCCTAGTAATCAGGGCATGCTTTGTTGTGTCAAAACCAAGACCAAGACTTTTTTTTTTTTGTCTACGTGCAGGGCTCCCATTTACCAAACCGAAAGTGATCTCCCTGTTGCAGCAAGGAGAAGATCCCTGGAAGGTGGAGAAAGACAGTTCTGGCGACTCCTCTCTGGGTAAGTGGGTGGCCCAAGGTGCTCAGGAATCGCCGCAGACAGCGGTCTGGTTAATGAGAGGAGGTAGGAGTGTTGGTCGGGAAACTCCTTTGAGGATTCTCAGACCTCAAGAAGGGGTGGGGAAGGGGAAGCCCACTACGATTACTCCCTTATAATCACTTCCCCATGAATCTCTCAGAATCTCTTTTCTTATTCTTTCCTGTTGTTTTAGAATGGGGCTGTATTTTCATGTATTCAGTCAGCAAACATAGTATATTTAAGGAATTTCAAATAATCACTCTGGCTGAAGCTCAGTGTGTATTTGGGAAAGGAGGAGGTGAGGAAGAAAATAGAAAGCTGGGAAAGGGCCGCGTGGTAAGAGCTTTGGCACAGTTCTAAGAGGTGGAAACTGTCCCATGGAGCACTGGAAATAATCGTATGGTTCTTGGTATCTTAGAAAAGTTGGTCTGAATCAGAAACAGTTGAGTCTCCATCAGTGTAAGAACAGCTAAGGGACCTGTGGCGTGTCCTTACTCTGGCGTGTCCTTACTCTGGCGAGCATCACCACCCTGAAAACAAGAGTCCAGGGACGTGGACAGAGCTCCCAGCAAGTTACAGAGCATTGTTAGGACACCACCATCTATGTTCAGTGAAAATTATGTGTATGTGTCATGTGCACGTAAGCCCGGAGAGAAAGGTTAGGATGACACACCTTAGCTGGTGACATTAGTGACACTTGGAATAGGATTGAGAATGGGTCCATGAAAGGAGATGTTATTTACATGTAATGTTTTAAATTTTCACAAAGAGAACATATTCATGATGTTGCCATGTGATTCGAACTTAATACAGATGGTCACTTTGGGAGTATTGTGATTGAAAGTGAGGCAAAACTAGAGGCGGGAAGCCTTGCAGAGTCATTGCAGTCATGGAGGGAGGCAGGAGGTGGGAGGGTCTGGATGACGGCACTTGCCGTGAGTTTGTGAGGGGGGAGGAGGAGGTGCCCACATGATCAGGGCACAGGAGCAGGTGTGTGTGTGATGGATCTCACGTGAGATGTGAGTGAAGTAGTCAGGTGGAGATCGCTGGTGGGCAGGTGTGTAAGTGACAGGGCCGAGACTCAAGAGAGGTCAGGGAGCCATCAGCGTGACAGGGGCATTGGAAACCTGGAGCTGGCCGGGTGGAGGCCCGAATTTCAGGAAACAGCATTTGTGAGGTGCTTAAGCAGGAGGAATCTGACAGAGCCCGAGAAGTAATCAGAGGAGAGAAATGGGGAGGGGCCATTGTGGCAGTGGGGGACTGAGCGCGGTTGGGGGACTGAGAGCGGTTGGGGGACTGAGCGCGGTTGGGGGACTGAGAGCAGTTGGGGGACTGAGAGCGGTTGAGCTGGGGGGACTCTGGCTCTGGGGGATCGAGGTTGAACCCTCGCCCACAGCTTTGTTGTCCCTTGTATAGCACTGGGCAGAAAAAGGGATGCAGGTCTTGCGCTTCTGGAGTGCACGATCTAGCGGGGGGACAAGGTGAACACTCATTGCACACAAGGCACAGAAGGACACGTTCCAGTGAGGACCACGTGGGAAAGACACTTGGTGCTTTGAGAGTGCAGAGCAGGCAGTTGGCGCCAGCAAAGGCTTCCCTGAGGAAGGACCTGGGATCAAAGGACTGAAGAATTGCCCCAGGCCTAACAAATGGGGTTCATGGCCGGGCACAGTGGCTCATGCCTGTGATCCCAGCACTTTGGGAGGCTGAGGCGGTTGGATCACAAGGTCAGGAGATCAAGACCATCCTGGCTAACATGGTGAAACCCCGTCTCTACTAAAAATACAAAAAAAATTAGCTGGGCGTGGTGGTGGGTGCCTGTAGTACCAGCTACTCGGGAGGCTGAGGCAGGAGAATGGCGTGAACCCAGGAGGCGGAGCTTGTAGTGAACCGAGATCGTGCCACTGCACTCCAGCCTGGGCGACAGAGCGAGATTCCGTCTCAAAAAAAAATAATAATGATAATAATAAAAGATTTTCCCTAGTTGTTACAAATATCAAAATTTCATTCCTTTTTGCTCTTGACTAGAATTCCATTGCACAGATGTACCACAGTTTACGCACTCGTGGAAGGACATTTGTGTTGTGTGACATTTGTTTCCAGTTTGGGGCAACTGTGAAGAAAAACAAGTTACAGTGAGGAGCTGCAGGGCAGCCTTGGTCCCCATGGCCCTGTGCTGGGGAGAGCTTCCTCGTGATGATAGCTTGAACTTTTTTTTTTTTAATAGGGGAACCACACTTGTGTTTTTAATCTCCTTTGATAGAAATACACTAATTTTTTATTAAATTAATTTTTATTAAATTAATTTATTATTTAATTTTTTATTAAATTAAAATTTAATGAACTGCCAGAGGCCACCACAAAGTAAGCGGAATGCAAGCAGCAGGGAACCAGGTAAGATTTAAGAGGGGCGTCAGTCTGGCCATTATGTGTGGGCTGAATCTGGTGTGGAAGATGAGGAAGAGAAGAAAGAATTGTTCCTTTCCCCCTTAACTGGGGAGCATCTGATGGCTGAGTAAGTCTTTCCTCTAGAGAGAAGTATTAACAGACTGAAAATATGACTGGAGTCCAGAGCTGTCCAGAGGGATGCCGGGCACCTGGTAGTGTTGTCAGTCAGTCCCTTTTCAGATTCGAGAGGATGGTCCTGCGGGAAAACCGTGAGCAGTTTATTGAGTAAGGAAGGACGTCAGAGCTGTTTTCTGCCCAGTTCCTCTTGGTGGGATGACCTTCTTCCTCCTCTTGTCAGATGGAAGTCAGATGGCATTCCTAGGGTGCTGACATGTGCTTGCATCTCTGCTGCACCCCTGGTGGGGCTCCTGTATGCCTGGACTAAGATTGCCTCAGGACAGCTTCCTTTTCCCATGAGAGCTCACTTCATTGAGAGCGTGGTTGAAGGACTGGGATGTTCCTGGAATTATCTCAGATTATTAACTCTAGCTCAAACCAAACACTCAACCTGTAGGCTGGGTGTGGTGGCTCATGCCTGTAATTCCAGCACTTTGGGAGGCCGAGGTGGGAGGATCACTTGAGCTCAGGAGTTTCGAGACCAACCTTGGTAACATAGACCCTGTCTGTGTTTATGTAACTTTAAAATAGAAAGAAAATATTTTAGACAAAAATCTACCCTTTGAACAGCCAGTGATGGAAAAACTTGCGCTCCCAGTGATAGGATTCTCTGGAACCTCCAGTGGCCTCAAAATGTACTTGTACAAAGTTACTTTCTTTTGAGCTGGACTCTTGCTCTGTGGCCCAGGCTGGAGTGCATTGGCGTGATCTCAGCTCACTGCAGTGCCCTCCTCCCAGGTTCAAGCGATTCTTGTGCTTCAGTCTCTCAAGTAGCTGGGATTACAGGCGCACACCACCATGCCGGGCTAACTTCTGGCTTTTTTTTTTAGTAGAGACTGGGTTTTGCCACGTTGGTCAGGCTGGTCTCGAACTGACCCCAAGTGATCTGTCCGCCTCAGCCTCCCAAAGGGCTGGGATTACAGGTGTGAGCCGCCACGCCCGGCCTGCTTTGTTTCCTTACTGCGAGAAGCCATCCTGGGCAGGCTGAATTGTGCGGGGTGGTGAGCGGAGGGTTGCTCAGCAAGGTTTGCCGGAGCTGCGGCCGCACGCGGGGAGGGCTCTCTTTTCCTCATTTGCACAGAATGCTGTGGGGCTTAGCAGCAGCCCTTATGACGTGGCCTGGAATGGTTTTAAAAAGTGACTGCTTACAAGATGGAAGTGTGGCCACCATCTTGTAAGCCCTGTTTCATTTTACTTGTGTTTGTAGAGATGGAGGTCTTGCTATGCTGCCCAGGCTGTTTTTGAACTCTTGGCCTCAAGCAGTCCTCCCATGTCAGCCTCCCAAAATGCTGGGATTATAGGTCCCTCAGTGCTCTGAAAATGTGGGCTCCTCTCCCACTTGAGTGCTGGCTGCACATCTCAGCTTGGCACTGCCAGGCTGCCCACCACAGCTCTGGGGTGATCTCGGTTTATGTTCCCTCCCTAGCTTGGAGGCAACAGGGGAAGGGACTTGGTTGGCGGTGGTTGTGACAGAGAGCCCTTCACTTGTCTGTGGGCCTCTCTACCCTAAAGAGATGCAGAACCACTGTCCATCAGTGCAGTTGGCCCAGGGTGGGTGGCTGCCCGGTGCCCAAGATGGGGAGGGAGGCCCTGCCTGGGGAGGAACAGGAGGAGCTGGCAGGGGAAGGGAGGTCACCAGCAAGACAGACGGACTGCTGCTTATGGCAACTGCAGCTTCCTGGAGGTACAGCTAAAGTACTCAGGGTTTTTGTTCCTTCCCCAGTCCAAGGGTAGCAAGGGCAATAGCACTGCAGTGGCAGCGACAGAGGGACTTCCGATTGCCTCTGTCAGTTCCACCTCAGAAACATGGAGCCACTGCTACTGGGAATCTTCAACCGAGGGGTGAGGTGGCTGCACTGCCGGCCTGAGGTGGGGGATCTGCCTGGTGAAGAGTCAGGGATTAGTGTTCACAGGGAGAGGATACTGAGCTCCTGTCCGTATGGTGACTGTGGCATGCTGGAAGCGCAAGTGAAGGCTTCACTGTTTCTTCCCCAGACCGAGGGCAGCAGGTGCAGGACTGCCGCTGTGGCAGTGGCATAGGGGCTATCAGTTGCCTGTGGGAGCCCTTCCTCAGGGAAGCACAGAGCCGCTACCAGTGGGAGCCGCTACTCAGCCAGGGGAGGGACGGCTGTTCTGCTGTCCAAAGCCAGGGTCTCTGCCTGGTGAGGAGTTGGGTATGGGAGCTCACAAGGTAGAGAGACTGGGCTCATCTCCACGTGGTGGCTGTGGTGTACCAGAGGTACCAGCGTAGCGACCGGGCCCTGGGTTCCTTCCCCAAGCCAAGGGTGGATAGTGGTACCATTTCAGCTACAGTGGTGGAGGGGCTGTGGGTTCTCACATTTCCTCCTCAGAGAAAGGCAGAGCCACCTCCAACTGAAGCATTCAGGTAGGCTTGATGGTTGTGCTGGAGTCCCATG